AAAACCCCGAGTCTAATAGAGTTGTTTCAACTATTTGTTATTTACTTTTAATTTGAAGGTGGTTTCGGCTGTATCTGAAGGTGCTAAGGGGTTATCCTGGCTCTGTTCTCATGAGTGATCCCTGGCAGTATTGGGGGAAATGTGTGGTGCTGGGGATTTGAACCAGGGTTCATGGGAGGCAAGGCAAGTGCCTAATCCCCTGGAATAAGGCTTGAATGAGAAAACTTCAACAGATCAGGAAATGCCTTATGTGCCAAGGGTAGGACTGATTTCAAGAATCCAAGCAGGATCTCATTACCAATCTAAGTACATATGTTTGCCTTTCGGTTATCATGAATCCGTAACTATAACTTATATCTGTCACTGTCACTGTCCTCCCGATGTTCATCGATTTGTCAGTAACGTCTCCATTGTGACACTTGTTACTGTGTTTGGCATATCGAATATGTCACGAGTAGCTTGCTAGGCTTTGCCGTGCAGGCGAGATACTCTCGGTAGCTTGCCGGGTTCTCCGAGAGGGGTGGAGGAATCGAACTCGGGTCGGCCATATTTGCCACTTGCAAGGCAAATGCCCTACCCGCTGTGCTATTGCTCCAGCCACAACGATAAATAAGTATGCCAGGTGACCTACCTTGGGCACCATGAGACTTCAGTATGTGTCCAGTTATGGAGAGGAAAATAGCCCCAAATCCCTTTCCCACCCTTTTTTTTAAATAAACATTTGATTTTCTGAGAGAGGGAGAGAGAGAGAGAGAGAGAGAGAGAGAGAGAGAGAGAGAGAGAGAGAGAGAGAGAACAAGGGGTTGATAGGAAATACTGAAGTTTTAACTAAATGTTTGTTCATGACTAAGTTTTACTTGCCTTTTTTATTAATCAAGTTTTGGGGTTTTGTTTTGGGTGGTTTCGTGCTGGGTATTGAACCCTGGGCCTCATACATGTAAGGTCTGTGTGCTATCACTGAGCTACATACACGGCCCATGGAGTTTTTATAATAGCTATCATAATAAGGAAAGCCTTTACCAAGCACTTCCTAAGCAGACACCCAGGAGGAAAGAGCGAGGACAGCTCTCCACAGCCCACTTCAGGCATCAGGAACACACAGCAGGTACACAGGCCACACAGCCTCCTTGGCAATGATGGGGATGGCTCACTAGGAACTGGGAGTCATGGAGAATACGACCAAATATGTTAAATTATGGTTCACCAGCAAGGGGGAAGGGAGAAGACCTTGAGACCCAGTATGGGGGAGAGTTAGAGAGGGGATGCCACCGTTGGAGCTCTGGGGCCAGAGGTTGTAAAATGGAAGCCCTCAGAAGTCTTCCAGCTACCATATTTAGCCTTGGAAAATTATTCAAGTGAGTTTCTGAATTACTGTGATAAGACCTGGGTGCTGATTATAACCACATTAATAGGAATGGTTTGGGGGTGAGATCTCACGGGGTGACAGTCCCTGTGACCTAGAAATACTGTGGCACTAGTAATACTATGACTTAGTGGCACTTCGGAGAGCCCGGCAAGCTACCGAGAGTATTCGATATGCCAGACACAGTAACAACAAAGTCTCCAATGGAGACGTTACTGGGCCTGCTCGAGCAAATCGATGATCAACGGGAGGGCCTGCTGAGTCTGCTGAGTCTAGTGGCACTAGTAATACTGTGACTTATAAGAAATAGTATTTGGTCAATCCAAAGATGAAAATAAACTTCTTATACATATTTGATCCTCATCCACAATTGCTGGCTCAAACTTCCCTTGACCTTTGGAATTTCCTAAATGTTGAGACTGATATCAATGTGTTACCAGGTAATTCTTGGAAGCATCTAAGGATGGCCTCTGTTACCTGCAGGACCACCCATGTGATTATGGGGTTGGAACTTCTGGTCCTTCTACCATATCTGCAAATTTCAGAAAGGAAGAGGGTCTGGACTATGAGTTCAACCAATAGTGACCTGTAAATTAATGTCTAAGTAATGAGCTCTCCACAAAACGCCAAGGAGGTGGAATTCAGAGTGTCCAGATTCGGGAAGATATGGAGGTACTTGAAGAATGCCTAAAGAAGGCAGAGAAGTTCTGCAGCCCTTCCCCATTCCTGGCCCCACATATCTCTTCAGATGGTTCTTCTTATCTCCTTTTGCAAGACATCAGTGGCCTAGTGAGCAAATGAGATTCTTGCATCCTGGGAGTTGAACAGGTAAATGAAAGGGAGGAGACCACCCTACAACTTCTGAGTATCAATCAGTAAGTGACACGACAAGCCTTGAGTCTACTGGTCCCAGAAGTCTAAGGAGAAGGGATAAGGACCTCTGCTCATAACTAGTCAGTAAGAAGCACAGCTAACAGCCTCAGCTTGCCACTGGCATCCAGAGTTGAAGGTGGTGTTCAGAGATTGAACCAAAACCTGCTCAAATTGACATTATGTCCAAGTAGAGATCATCAGAGTTGAGCAACTCCCCACAGGTTATTCAATTTGGTGAAGTACACACACACACACACACACACACACACACACACACACACACACACACTCCTGCACAAAGGAGCCCCTTTTCCTACTCAATTGCATGCTGCCTTGAAGTATGAATGAACGTTTTACCTACGTAATATCTGAACTCTGGCCAGCTGGTAAAAGATTTGAGGGGAAGAGATTTGAATTTTTAACTAATTGGTTATTTGTTATCTATTTTACTATGTGCAACACAAGAGATGGCAGAATAAGCAAAGAGCGTGGGGTTTAAGAAAAATAACCCTGGGGCTGGAGAGACAGTATAATGGGTAAGGCACTTGCCTTGCACACAACTGACCAGGGTTCGATCCTCGGCATCCCCTAGGGTCCCTGAGCTTGCTAGGAGTGATTCCTGACTGCTGAGCTAGGAGTAACCCCTGAGCATTGCTGGACTTGACCCCAAAACTAAAATAAATAAGCCAATTTAAAATAAAATAAAATAAAATGATCCTAAAGGGAGTTTGAAAGTTAGTGAAGAATCCCCAAAAGTGTTCAACCCTAACTCCAAGCCAGGGTGGCCAGCACAGTGATCAAAGACTCAGACTGCAATTCACTCCCAAGTGCCAATTGAAGGGTGGCAGAGGAATCATTTGTTACAGGTGCAAGCAGGTGGTACTGTAGGGGCTAGAGGAGGGCATAAGGGCAGGAAAAATTGGAATCACAGGCAAATTTGAGAAAAACTAAGAAGACTGATGGGTTCAAAGCTAGTAGGAAACTCAGTGGGAAGTGAGAATTGAAAGGTGCAGTGAGGTCTATGGCCAGATCACCCTGAATGTGCCCGATCTGAAAGGTGTAGTAAGGTTCAGCAGACACAACCCAGCGTGACCCCTGGTGAGTCATGCTCTGGTGGAATCCCATAATCTACTCCTCTTGTGGACAGTGGCTACCCTGTGACCAGCCGCTGACCAACAAAACATGGGAAAGGAGAGGAGATACCGCTATCACAGTTCTGTGACATTACAGGGCAAAGGGATTTTGCAGACATAATTAAGGCGCCTGATCATTTGATTTAGAATTAGCCAAAAGGGAGATTGTCATAGGTCAGCTTAATTTAATCAACCAAGTCATGTAAAAGAGAGTCAGGCCTTCCCTGAAGTGAGACTCCAAACAAAAAAGACAATCTCTCCTGGTGCCCTTGAAGACAAGGACCGTGAGGAGGACAGTGGCTGAGAAACTGACCAGCACTGCATGAGTTTGAAAAAGTATCACAAACTTCGGCTGGGAATTCATTTGCTGACAGCTGGATCTCAGCCTCATGAGGGTCCAGGTAGAACATACCCAAACTCCTGGCTCCCAGCAGCTGTTAAAAAACATGGTGTTTTTTTCTTTCTTTTCTTTTTTTTTTTTAACAGTTTGAAGCAGCTACTTTCATGGCCATTTGTCAAGCAGCGGTGTACTATGGAGCACAAATATGGATTTGCAGTGTGGAGGGCCATGGAGAGCAGCTAAAGAGCTTGGTTTGTTATGCCGGCCATGGGAAGCCATGGGCTGACGCTGAACAGAGAGAGGAAACTAAGAGATAACGGTAGGAAGGGAAGCCTGGGTTGGGGGGGGGGGGGGGGTGGCCAGAACTTTCAAAGCACATTTACTCAGGGCATTGCTCCCAGGAGGGGGGTCAGTAAAGTTCTGGTGAGTGCCCAAGTTTTGGGTTGCTATTCCTTTACCCTATTTAAAAACAAAACCAAAAAAGAGTAGGAAGCAAAACAATTCAAGAAATGACAATCACTGCAAAAAACCTGAAGGAACTTTAGTGTCCTTGTTGCTAATTATAAATATTTACTCCTCCCAGAATTCCTGACCTCATAGAAGGGCCTGCGTAAATAGTCCTGCAACTTTACTGGAAAATCAGAGAGAGAGAGAGAGAGAGAGAGAGAGAGAGAGAGAGAGAGAGAGAGAGAGAGTGTGTGTGTGTGTGTGTTCCTTCTATGTTTTCTTGGAAGGGGGACAGGACAATAATAAGGACTGGATGATCTGTAAAGAGTCACTTCCTGTTGGATATTGTCTAGTTCCCTTCCCCTCCTCCCCGGATCATAAACCCTGAGACCCACCCCTTCAGCAACTCCTCTGATTCTATCTGCTGGAGACAACTAAGCCAAACAAACTCAGGAAGTGGCAAGAGGTTGGGAAGTGGAGGAAGTTCATGGCACAGAAGGAAAAGTAAAGAGAATGCCCTGATGTTCAAGGAAAAGGGTGGGGAGAGGGAGAAATGAAGGTCACCCCAAGGTCGCTCGGCGCCAAGCCTTTAAAATGTCATGCTGGGGCTTTCAATCAAAACTGGCACAAACAGTGGGTCAGATCTCCCGGGGCTATTAAAATATTAACATTTGCAGTGATAAACAGACCCCAAAAAAGTTCTCTGTAAGCAAATTGGAACAAACAACCAATCTCAGGCAGGTTGCTAAGAGACCATTTGGGCAGGGGCCAAAGGCAGTGGAAGAGTCTGGAAAAGTCCTCATTTTCTGGCTCCAAGGAAGGGAAGGAAGAGAGAAGTGATTACCTGTAGATGACTCCGTGCTGGTGGAGGAACATGAGAGCTGACGTCACCTCTGCAGCATAGAATCGGGAACGAGGCTCATCGAATTTTCTGGAGCGCTGGATCTGGAACATGAGATCTCCGCCATTTACATACTCCATGACAAAGAAGAGGCGATCCTGAGAGGAGAGGAGAGGAGAGGAGAAAAGGCCTATTAGATCTTTCGGGGCAGCTGCCTGCACTGGCCAGTGCTCTGGGAACCCTGTGTGCCGGAACAGAGAATTGGAGAGGGAGGTGAGCAGGCGGCTGAATGCGGGCAGCAGGCCACCCCGAGAGACCAGTGAATACATAGCTCATGAATCAGGGCACGAGGAGTATTTCAAATTCTCTTTGTCTTACTTATATGGGCACTAAGGTCAGTCTAGAGAGAGAGGCCTAGAATACACAGGAAGGAAGTGAGGTCTTCGGCTTCTATTTTGACCTTTAACTCTGTTTTAGAAGAGAGCTCTGAGCCTTTGAAGGCCATTTACCTTTTTTCTGTGTGGTAAATACTGGCTCCCCCCAAACAAGTTCCCAATCTCAGTCTCTTAAATTGTGTTTTTGCACTCCTCAGGGAGTGAAAAAAGACTTTTGATATGATGACGTTGAGTGTGCTGAGATGGTGTGAGCAGTGCCCCAAGGGCAGTCATACTTTCTGATGTAAGAGGAAGGTAGAGGGATTGGCGAGATGAAGAGAGAGGAGCCGTGACCACTAAGGCTCAGATGGGAGAGACACGGCCAGAAGCCAGAGCATGTGGGGCTACGGGCAGCTGGCAGCAGGAAGTTCGTTCTCTCTCCTGTGGTGAGAACACAGCACAGCAGACACCTTAATTTCTGCCTGGTGACACTCAGATCTGCTGGAGAACATGTTTCTCTTGTTTTGAGCCTCCAAGTACACAGTGATTCATGAAGGCAGCCTTAGGAAACTCACAGAGTGGCCTGGGGCAGGAGACCCTCTCTTCACAGCCACTTTCCCACACACTGGTCCTCCAGGTTGCTGTCCTACAGCATACTCCCTAAACATTTCACCCTTACGGCTACTGCTTTCAGAATGGCTAACTGACAGCCATACCTCACTGGGTTGACCCCTACTCATTCGTTCATTCATTTCCCCATATCTGTTGTTCAGAGTCACCAGGTGAGCTCAAGTTTAGAGGCAGATGCTGAGATGGGATGGGAGGAGGTGAGTGAGGCCAGATGGAGGAGACGGGGATGTGTCCAGATATGGGGATACCGATAGAGATGCTCCTGGGAGAAACTTCCTGAGCACACGCCTGTGCAGGCAAGCCCAGCTCCTATCCTCGATTCACTACCTCTTTAGCAGTTCAAAACAATCTAATCAGTATTGAAGTTTTGCCCGTTACTGGATTTTTTTGTTTATATTCCGGGTAGTTGTCTAACACATAGAACCACTTGGTTATATAAGTCTAAACCTCTCAATCATCCACATAAGTCCCACCAAATCCCACCCCAATGTGACAGGATCACTCATCCACCCTAAGGTCGCAGAATAAAGCATTACTGTTTAGGCATGTTGGGATTGACAATAGTTTACATGGTCACTTGCCCACTCCTGAGAGTCCTGGGCTAACAGAGAATTCGCCATGTGGTGACATCTCTTCCCTCTGGAGTGTAGTTAGCTTGACTACATTTGCTTGCCTTGTTATTGGGGAACTTGTATCTATGTGTGTAATCTTGAATTCATTGCTGATCAAACACAAGAACCTACAGGGCCAGAAAGTTAGCTACATGGGCTGAAGCACACGCTTTGTACATGGAAGACCAAGATTCAATGCCCAACACCACATGGTCCACTGACACCCTCAGGAATGATGTGAAGCATGGATCCAGGAGTATCCCCAAGCACCAACAGGTGTGACCATTCCCCCCCCCACACACACACACATACATACACCAAAAGCAAAGAAGAACCTAGGGCTTCTTGTCACCCATCCACTACACACTGGTGACATCCCTGTTATCTTTCCATCCATTCATCCATTCTCCACCCTGCCATTCATTTTTTAGTGCCAAAGACTGTACTCAGGACCCTTTCTTGCTGTAATCCATAACATTGTGGGACAAGGATGGACTACAGGTTACTTTCAATCTCTTGATTACACCCTTAAATATCTATATTGGCCTAGGCAGAGGCAAGAATTATAAGCCATCTGTGTCTGTGGGGAGTGCTAATCCAGGGAAAGAGACGGGAAATGGACAGAATAGTGACAAGGAAATAGAATGACCCCAGAGAGTGAAAGGAGGAGGAGAATGCAACAGTCACTCTTGGGGCTGAGGTCCCATGATTCTAGATAAAGCCAGGTCCTGAGAAAAGATGAAAAGGTATCAACAAATATCAGGACCTGGGAACAGACTGAGAATGTTTGAGGAACGTTAAAATGACCAGGTCAGCTAGAATAACCAGGAGGAAGGGTCAGAGACAAAAAGTAAATAGGGAGGTTTGAGAGACCAGAGGGTCAGAGTACACTCTCAGTGTGTGCATGCAAATGGGTGTGTACGTGCATGGGTGTGCACATATATCAGCGCACACGCATGCACACACACACATGCATGCACAATACCCAGGACCAAACCCAGGGCCATGCCACGTCATGTGGTTGTACTCTACCACTGAGCCACATATCCAGTTCCCCAGAGCACATTCTTAGCATAGATCCAAAGTCATCATGAAGCTTCTCGAAGGATGTTAGCCTAGTTTTTAAAATCAGAATTAGCAGAATCATTTCTGCTAAGATTGAGTAAAAATGACCAACAATCCTCCCCTGCCTCCCAAACAATGAAGACATGGTAACTAATTTATTATGGACATCTCTTTGGAAAGAAGTTCAGAGTTGAGAATTGTTCGGAGTTTATACCACCTTTTCCCTGGTCACAATCTGTAGAATCATTCACACTTTCCTAGTATTCACAGAAAGCCTCCAGTCCAGCTTGTCTCCCATTAGTCATGCTCTTTCCTCTCAAGGTCAGCCCTGTTTTTTCTGTTGTACAACTCTGTAATCAGAAGCATAAAGGCTGCCTCGCTGACCGCTTCCCATTCCAACCATTCCCCGGTCACCCATTCCCACTGAAACCCTCCTTCCAAAATTTCAAGCTTAGACCAACCTCTGGACAAGAAAGCAATGATTTCTGAGTGGTGTCTCAGGCATAAGTACTTTTGAAAGATTCTTGGGTAGTTTCAAGGTGTGCACCCAGACCCAAGAAGCTCTGAGACTCTTCCACCTGTTTCTGCCAAGGTTTGCTGCATCTGTGATACAACGTGTTCTATGTCATTTGAGCTTTCTTTTATTTCAAGAATCCTCCAAGAACCAGGGTTCCAAACCTGTGGAATACAAACACCTGGGAGTTTCATGGGTTCCTGTAGCCCTGTACAGTTTCCATCCAGAAGATCTGGGGTACAGTCTGGGCTAGAGCCTCAGATCTGTACTGGAGCCTGAGATCTGGGCCAAAGCCTGAGGTCTGGACCAGAGCCTGAGGTCTGGACCGGAGCCTGGTAACAGGGCAGAGCCTGAGGATATGCCTTTCAACAGCTTCCCAGGAGAGGCTGGTGCTGCTGGCCCAGGGTACCTTTGAGAACCACTGATCCAGGGCAGGCATTCTTATATCCATTTACAACTCCCGTTGCTTGAAAAACTTTTACATGATCTCAGGTATCTACTAAGTATATAGATCAAACATTTACTGATGTTAAATCATATATACATTTATTTTAAAATGATGCACATATTCAGTTATATGACCCGATGTGGGGCAGCATCCCACCATTTAAGAAGCTAAAGCACTTGGGAAAATCCTTCCACCAGGAAGATACAGCTGCACCATGCTCTTAGCACTACCCCAATCTAGCTGAATCACGCATCCTCAGAAGCAGCTGCTGGTGCAATGTCACTTCATAGTCACTGACTGGGACTTGGATTTTACCAATGACGGAATCTTTCACTGTGTTAGAAAGAATCCAGCCCTCAGGCCAGAGATAAATCAATGGGTTGAGTACATGCTTTGCATTGAGGAGGCATGGGTTTGATCCCTGGCACTGCATGACCCCTAAGCACTGCTGGTGAGCACAGGGCTGGGATAGGCTTCATAGCTCTAAAAAGGAAATTCATCCTTCCCCAGTACCCTTTTCCTGGCTGCTGCTTCTCTCACTGGAACAAGCTTAAGGATGGAGCTCAGAGCTGAGCAAAACTAGCTCCCACCTGATTTCATCACTTACAGGCTGTGTGATTGTGGGAAAAAGTCTTCATCTCTCTGTGCTCAGTTTTCTTTCAGTCTCTGAAAATGAAAAAATGATAAGAGCCGAAGAGAGAGCTCAAGAGGTTGACCACGTGATTTGTGCACAAAGACTTGGTTTGATTTCTGCCACCACATGGTCCCACAAGCATGGCTGAGGGCACCAGAGCACTATAGACACTACTGGGCGTGGCTCCAACAGAACAGAACAAAAGAAAACATAATGGAACATAGCACAACATAACGTAACACAACAGGAACCTATCAGACCAACATCTTACTCAGATGGAATTATAGTTTAAATGGTGGTAGGTGATGCCCCAATAAAGACTGCCAGTTATTATGGCTAATGATCTTCTTGTTGTTGTTGCCGTTGTTGTTTGGGAGTCACACTTAGAAGCGCTCAGGGGTTATTCCTGGCTCTGCACTGAGGAATTACTCCTGGTGGGTCTCGGGGTACCCTATGGGATGCTGGGGATCGAACCCTGGTCAACTGCGTGCAAGGCAAATGCGCAAGCTGCTGAACTATAGCTCTGGCCCCGTTACTAATCTTATATTTGAGTTATTATTATCAAGTCTTTGTGTTTCCTGCCCTTTGAGCAACATTTTCCTCTTGACTCTTCTTCCAACAAACACTTATTTCCCGTGGCCTTCAGTCCGGCTTTCTCACCGCCGCTGGCTGATGTTTTCTGCCTTCTCTGCAGGCTGTTTCTCCTCCTTGCACAAAGAGCCTTCCCCCTCCTCTCTTGTTCATACTGAGCTGGCTCCTCCACACCTATTTCGAATGTACCCCACGCTGACGACTCACACATTCACCTTCCTCTAGCCCTTTGCTCCAAGCTGTACCCAAACCCCGGGTGCTTCTAAGGACAAAAATGGGTCCAACCCAGAG